GAGACGAAACATTCTCTCGCGAAGATCATACTCGAAGTCCTTTGGTCGAAAGCGCGTGCGCAGCTGTTGCTTAAACAACGACCACGTGGGGTTTACCCTCGCTCTCTCACATTCGGCTATAAAAGCGCGATACCAGTTCAACACTGACTTGCCTAAGTTGCTGGAGATTATCGTCACGAAACCTGACGATTCTGCCTCCATTAACTCACGTCTGCTTGCGTAGTACTGCTCGGTGGCAAAGATCCACAATTCAATGTCTTCACCATACTTTCCTTCATACATCGGAGGGTCCTTCTTCTTCTGCTCACCCCTAGCGGCAACGGTATATTCGAATCTCGCATTAGCTTGTTGCATTTGGGCTTGCATTTGCGCTTGCATCTGAGCTTGATACTGCTGTTGCTGCTGCGTAATGTATACGAGCAGCTGCTGCATGGACATGGTCTCAGGTCCAGCCGCATCCTGAGCAGCATCAGTAGCAGGGGAGGCTGACTCAGCCTGTGCATTGGCACTGGCTCCTTCTCTTGACGCTTGCGATCTTGTATTTGTTCGCATCGTGGGTTGGGTAGCTTCAGCGTCGCTCGGAGCACTAACACGGCTCTGTTGACGAGGACGAGGGTTCGGTGACGGGCGCTCAGCTGCACGACTCCTTCTTTGAGCCATTACAAGCTGGACTTCTCAGCGCAAGTCTTTTAAGATACCAGAACCCTATACCGAAGTTAAACGAAGCGAAAAAAGGTTCCGATTAAAGTTCCTCCCTACTCTACGTTTCTTGTCTACGTGGATGGAGTGGTCAAAAGATCCTTCAAGAATTTCTTGGGTTTGCTTAATACGTTTCTTGAGCAATTCACTGAAGTCGTGAATGACGTTCCGGGCGGCTGCGTAATTAGAATCCGAAATTTCGTTTCGGATCAGGCGGACGAGCTTAAGTTGCTTGACCGTTGTTAGCCACAAGTCCAGACGAAGCTGATCGAGCTGCTTGTGTCGATCAGTCAAGGACTTTGTGCTGTTTACAAACGGATCTTCGGGTTGACGAGTCTTTCGCTTACCCATAAACAAGCACACTGAAACAGATGCAGTAGCAACAGATGTAGATCAAGCACAACCAGTGAGTATCTAATCGGACGTTCGCTCCTTTAAGATCTGATGCGGGATAAGGATCCACGTAACGTGAAAGCGTTAGACCCAAGGCCACCAGAAAGAGTTTCCGATTGTGTGTACCACACTAGTGCGCAACCACACCAACTAGCCACTGAACGTAACAGTTCGTGCTGAGGCAATACCCTTTGTATTCTAGTGCTTCCCCAACTACGTGGCTGGCACCAATAACCTCAGGACAACTCGCTTCTGGCTATGCCACCAAGAGTGCCCTACTTGAACCGAAGCTTGACACGACAGGTGCTACTATGTCACGAAAGTAGCGAGGAAGCGTAGGAGCGTAGACGGCGAGTACGGCGCCGTAGACAGCTGTAGGGGAGGAGAGGAGTACAATATGGAGAAATGTGACCAACCTTGTCACAATTTCTGCACGTAGCTGTCTTTTTCCAATCATCGTTCTTGCCCTTTTTCTTTTCGTAACGCTTGTTGTTCTGCTGTTTCGATTTAGGCGGATGATGCCCCGAGTCCGACGACCCTTTTGAAGGCTTCGAAGGTGCTCGAGGAGGTTTCCCGGAGTAGTGCGCAAACTCGAAGTTCGAAGCAATTTCAATGGCTTCTTGTAGCGTTGAAGGACTCTCTTCTTTGATCTTCTTTGCTGTTTCTTCACGTAACCCGTTTTGAAAGAAGAATCGTTTCTCCAACTCACTGATCGTCAATTCTGTCTGCGACAGCAAGTCTTGAAACTTGGAGACATACTCGTGAATAGTCTCGGTCTATTTGAGACGAAACATTCTCTCGCGAAGATCATACTCGAAGTCCTTTGGTCGAAAGCGCGTGCGCAGCTGTTGCTTAAACAACGACCACGTGGGGTTTACCCTCGCTCTCTCACATTCGGCTATAAAAGCGCGATACCAGTTCAACACTGACTTGCCTAAGTTGCTGGAGATTATCGTCACGAAACCTGACGATTCTGCCTCCATTAACTCACGTCTGCTTGCGTAGTACTGCTCGGTGGCAAAGATCCACAATTCAATGTCTTCACCATACTTTCCTTCATACATCGGAGGGTCCTTCTTCTTCTGCTCACCCCTAGCGGCAACGGTATATTCGAATCTCGCATTAGCTTGTTGCATTTGGGCTTGCATTTGCGCTTGCATCTGAGCTTGATACTGCTGTTGCTGCTGCGTAATGTATACGAGCAGCTGCTGCATGGACATGGTCTCAGGTCCAGCCGCATCCTGAGCAGCATCAGTAGCAGGGGAGGCTGACTCAGCCTGTGCATTGGCACTGGCTCCTTCTCTTGACGCTTGCGATCTTGTATTTGTTCGCATCGTGGGTTGGGTAGCTTCAGCGTCGCTCGGAGCACTAGCACGGCTCTGTTGACGAGGACGAGGGTTCGGTGACGGGCGCTCAGCTGCACGACTCCTTCTTTGAGCCATTACAAGCTGGACTTCTCAGCGCAAGTCTTTTAAGATACCAGAACCCTATACCGAAGTTAAACGAAGCGAAAAAAGGTTCCGATTAAAGTTCCTCCCTACTCTACGTTTCTTGTCTACGTGGATGGAGTGGTCAAAAGATCCTTCAAGAATTTCTTGGGTTTGCTTAATACGTTTCTTGAGCAATTCACTGAAGTCGTGAATGACGTTCCGGGCGGCTGCGTAATTAGAATCCGAAATTTCGTTTCGGATCAGGCGGACGAGCTTAAGTTGCTTGACCGTTGTTAGCCACAAGTCCAGACGAAGCTGATCGAGCTGCTTGTGTCGATCAGTCAAGGACTTTGTGCTGTTTACAAACGGATCTTCGGGTTGACGAGTCTTTCGCTTACCCATAAACAAGCACACTGAAACAGATGCAGTAGCAACAGATGTAGATCAAGCACAACCAGTGAGTATCTAATCGGACGTTCGCTCCTTTAAGATCTGATGCGGGATAAGGATCCACGTAACGTGAAAGCGTTAGACCCAAGGCCACCAGAAAGAGTTTCCGATTGTGTGTACCACACTAGTGCGCAACCACACCAACTAGCCACTGAACGTAACAGTTCGTGCTGAGGCAATACCCTTTGTATTCTAGTGCTTCCCCAACTACGTGGCTGGCACCAATAACCTCAGGACAACTCGCTTCTGGCTATGCCACCACGAGTGCCCTACTTGAACCGAAGCTTGACACGACAGGTGCTACTATGTCACGAAAGTAGCGAGGAAGCGTAGGAGCGTAGACGGCGAGTACGGCGCCGTAGACAGCTGTAGGGGAGGAGAGGAGTTGCTGCTCGAAAGCATATTGAGAAGTGATTAATCAGTTAGAGTTGGTGGCGGCAAGCTAGTAGAGTGGTTTAGCAGAAAGCTACGAACGTGTGACGCCCGTTTTTTTTGTGAGGATTGCCAGAGACGAGCGTCACACGTTCGTTCAAGTGATGTAGCTACGACTGATAAGCTTTCTACAAGTCGTATACAAATGTATATCTATGCACTTTAACATCCGAATACTGTATACTTGAGTGCATTTTGTGCCCATTATAGCACTGCCGTTGGTTGCGCACTGGTCGGGTGATGCCACGCACCGTGCTATCAATGAAGCCGATACACCTGTCGATAGGACTGCCGCGTGCAAGAAGCTTGCTGCACTTAGCGTAGATTAGGTCCACCATGAAGCGAAAGATCAGGCACAGCGCACTGGGCGACCTGCCGAACATCACAGCAAGATCCCCGTACTGTCCAGGGTACGCGAGCCGGCGCAGCAACACACAGAGCCCCTCGACTTCACCAACGCGAAGGCGGCTCGGTAGCTTGTAGTCTTTCTCAAGCCGCAGCGCCTTGTGCAGCCGAATTACGTCACGCTTCCAGAATCGGAAATTAAAACGACAGTCTCCGTCGCTTAATGCGTTGAAATTGAAGTTGCCCTTCAGTGTGAGGACTGGTCGTGGAATAGGAGATCTGGCGAAGAGCACAGCGGCGTCCTCGACAAGGACGAGGCTCAGAGCGGTCGCTGCGAGGACTAAGCTCTCCTCGAGCTCGCTCTTCAAAATGCTTCGCTGGCAAACCAACGTGTGCGGCAGTGTGATTAGGGTTGTGTGATTGGCGCTAGTCTACAACTCACACAAGTTCCTGCTGCTAAACCACTCTAGTAGCTGGCAGCTACTAGCTGCCGCACAACCAGTAGTTCTTGACAACCGGATATTCACGCACGTATCCAGGTCCATCCTAAAACCTATCTTTCTCAAATCCTGATTTTCTCTGTAACTACCAATGAAAGCCTATGAATCCTAATTCTTATCTTGGTCGGAAATTTCGCACAGCGTCCCATAATCACAATTTCCGGCTGGAAGCTTGATTGTTGCAAATCCATGAGATTTTGGACCAATAGGATTGTAGTATGATGTAAAGACACGCAATCTTAAGTTTACGCTGATCAGAATAATCTGACCAGCTGAACTCAAATAATTGACGTGGCTGGTCACTACCATGCCATTGGCTAGTGACCACCACGTCACACTAGGATACAAGACTAGATACGAATGATTCTTATGCAAGGTTGCTCTTTGCCACACGTCACGCTGGGAGAACGATGACTCTTTCTTTGACGAATTTCATTCGTCGACCAAGCTGCCCGATGCATGTCAGCAAGCAGCAACACAAGCATAGGTTGAACAGTTTGAGCGACGAGTCACCCGACACAAATCAAAGCCACTGCGGCGATCGGTAAGATTGTCTACTGAGTCCGCCGCATAATATTTTATCCTAGGAACTAGGATATTTTGGCAAAGATTAAGCATCCCACTTCAGCTTGTCTTTGCAACATCAACGCGCATGCGTTTGGGCTGAGGTCCTCGAACCTTGCTAAACGAAGTCTTGACGTCATGATGAACCTAAAGTTTTTTTCAATTTGTGCTCTAGTTGCTCCAAGAGAGGCCATCAAAAATTGATCCTTCCATTTAACCTACCAAAATAGCTCACTGGGGTTAAGATGGTACCTATTTACCGCAAAAAGTCTAATCGACCTTAGGGGCTTTTTTTGCGCTGTCGCACTGTCTTCTCCTTCTCGTCACTGTCCACTGCCTTAGCATCCTCCCCCTCCTCCTCTTTGGCTCCACTGTCCGTCTTCTTCGCAATTGCCTCGTGTTTAGATGCCCCCGACGCGGAGCACAGGAAGAACAAGGCAATGGTGAGCAGTACGGAAATACCACCCACCGATCCAAGAGCAAGCACAGGGTTAGCATCGGCGTATGCAGCAAAGTCCATCGCCAGCTGATTGAGCGTCTTCATGATCCCGCTTTCCTCGCTGTCCAATTCCTCCTTCTTAAGCTTCTTCTTCGCTTCGACCTCGACAGCGTGCTTGGGTGCCCACGTGAGATCCGCGAACTCCTGCGCCTTCTTCAAGTCGTTGCCGAGCCAAAAGTTGTCGAACGTAATGCCATTCGTCATGGTCCACACCTCCACAGCAAGTGCACCAATGGGATCAAGGCGCGCCGGGTGTTCATCCTCGAAGTACTTCGGATTGGGGATCTTGGATGGCTTCCACACACCCTTGTAGGCTGGATTCGAAATGTACGGAGCGTAGAACTTACCCTTGTACGCCTGATTGGCTATCGTGGGTCGCCTCCACTCGCCACAGCCGGACACTTTGGCGCACTTCGAGTTGAGGATCTGTGGTACAACAAACTCTCCGTCGTCCTCGTCGTCCCAGTCCTCGGGTTTCACCACATTCGGGTCATCAATCATAGCCGGCTCGTCGTCCAGCCAGTCATTAGGCTTAACAGCGCCCTCATCCGGGATACGAGCAGGGGCGTCTTCATCCCAGTCGTCAGGCTTGGCAGCGTTCGGGTCGCGGACCTTCTTCTCGTCGACCCAGTCGTCAGGCTTTGAGTCTTCGGGATCGTCGACCTCCTTCTCTGGAATCACGGGTGGCAGGAAGTTCTTCAACAAACTGCCGCTCTTGACCGACTTCTGGTCTACGAACACCTCGAACGTGTTGTCATCGCGAATCACAGCCGTGTAGAGGTGGGTGTCCTTGTCGTTTTTGATGCTGGGCGCCTCCATCATGTGCTTCTCCTCGTACTCCTCCGACACAGGGTTCTTGTGCTGGAAGATAAGATGCAGTTTGTCGCTGTTGCCGCACTTATCGGGGCCAAACATGAGCACAAAGGGGGTCTCGTCACTGAAGGCCGAGAAGTCCTGTTTTTGCTGGTCTTGACGCAGCAGCTTAACGTAGGCGCCACCGCAGTCCAGACCCTTCTGCAGTTTCACCTCGTATTGCACCACCATTTCCTTCTTAGCGTCACTACCGTCCACTTGCAGTGGCTCGTCCAGCTTCACGGCAAGGCCGTAGTGTTGCGCCGGCTTGTTCAGCACGAGACCGCGATCGGGCGTCAGGTGCGCCGCTTCCAGTGTGAGCTCATCAAGGGCCACATCCTGGTTCGAATACTTTTCGTGTGTGCTCTTGAACCAGCGCGAACCATCAAATAACTCCTCGACCTCGAACGTCTCGGCGAATAGTGCTGACTTAGTCAACCCCTGCACCTGCTGCTTGCGCGTCTCCACCACTTGTATGTCAAAATCTTGCTGCTCTTTTGTGGTAGTGTCGTCTGCGAGCGCAGCAATGGGCAGCAACACTGCCGGCACCACCGCAACCAATGTCTTGACTCTCATTGTGAACTTCAGAATTATTAAGTAGAGAAGTATTTAAGATATGGACACATAGCCCCCCCCCCAAAGCGCTCATTTACTCTGACCACTTTCAAAAGGTATTTGGAAACTTCATCCTTTTCGTAACTGAGCTGTGAAATATTTTGAATTCTGTACAGTAAAAATGATTGATTTCAAGCGTGACATTGGTCTAAATTGGCTTCATATTTCGACCAATGACAATAATGTAAAAATGGGGGAGCTTTCACACAAAGATCGCTGTCAACAAAGAAGGAAGAGGAGCAGAGATGAACTCCCGACAGCGCACGCAGTCGCCTATCGTGACGGGTACGTCGGTGATTGCACTTAAGTACAAGAGTGGTGTGATGATGGCGGCGGATACACTGGGCTCGTACGGGTCGCTAGCGCGCTTCACGGACCAGCGCCGGCTCACCGCCGTGCACAACACGACGCTGCTGGGCGCCGGCGGCGACTTTAGCGACTTCCAGTTCATCAAGGACAAGATGGACGAGCTTGAGGTGTACGACTTTAACGAGGACGACGGATGTGACACCACAGCGCCCGAGATCTATCACTACCTGCAGCGCCTGCTCTACCACCGCCGCAACAAGTTTGACCCACTTTGGAACACCGTCGTGGTGGGTGGCCTCAACCCGGAGACGGGTAAGCCCTTCTTGGGTCAGATTACCATGATTGGTTTGGCTTTTGAGGGCGACTACGTTGCTACGGGCTTCGGCCACCACCTAGGAATGCCTCTGCTGCGAAAGCACTGGCGACCCAACATGGAGGAGGCTGATGCGCGCAATCTGCTTGAGGACTGCATGCGCGTATGCTTCTACCGTGACTGCCGCACAATTAACCGCGTGCAGTTCGCTAAGGTCGAGGCTGACGGCATCACCATCCCGGAACCTATCAAGATGGACACCAAATGGGACTACTCGCAGTTCGTCAAGACTAAGTCGGAGGTCGGGTCCTCGTGGTAATCAGAGCGACTACAGTGATGAGTGCTGGTGAACAGAGGACGACGAGGGGGGACTGCGGAAGCGGGTTTATCTTGACTAAATCTGATTTTGCGCACAGGAAGTGTCGTTCTAACGCGTCCACTTCGACAGCAGATTCTAAAAAACGAAAAAAAAGAGGAAAAACAGAATTTCGCACCTCGCTATTCAGGTTATCTTGGTTCTTATACCAGAACGCCGTTTCTAGTCTCTGCGTTTACGCTTGAAGCTCCGTGAACTGCGGTCATTTTCCGACGATGACGTCGAGCTGACCCTGTCACTACCCAACGAGTCCGAATCCGAATCCGACGAATCTGATGACGATGAATCACTGCTGCTGCTGCCGCTACTAACGCTACTGCGGCGCTTACGTCGCAATAGCGAACGGGATCCCGAACTGGTCTCCTTCTTCTTGGATTTGGCTATGTGAAGCTTAAGCTTCTTGCTCTTCTCTGCCTTCAGCTTTACCTCTTCCTGTATTAATAGTTCTGGGGGCATCTCCTTGTTAAAAGGTTGGCGCAGCTTAGGGTTTCGCAACTGCTGCGAGCGCGACGGCCGCTGCACGTATACGGCCCCGTTCTTGCATTCGTAGGTCCAGTGACCGCGCCGCAGGCATTTCTGGCACATGGCGGCTACGCTCGACGAAGACGAGGACCCTAGTCCGCGACGATGCACACGCACCTGGTCCGTGCTGGTCTCGTACATGTGGCGCCGCGCCTCCTTGCGCAGCGCCCACATACCTAGCGGAGCCTCTCCGTTCAGGCCGCCCATGCCTGTGAGTGAGATCACAATCAATGAAAATACAATAAACGCTCGCGGATACAATGTATTTTGTCCAATCGAATGAAAATACTGCAACGAGATCTAGATTTTTAAGGTAGAATGTAAGTTGAGTTTATTTTTAGGTACCGGTAGATAAATTACAAAGTCAGCCAATGGTTGGCCTTGGTACCTTGTACCAAATATCCCGAAGTTTGACGTGTCACACTTCATGTATTATCCTACGTAGGAGCGGAGGTCCTACGTAGGGTCTCATTAAACCTAGTAAAGCTTAGGCAGTAACGTAAAACGGGAAGCACTCCAAATTACATGAGACACAACGCTTTCTTCTAGCCTAGCAATAGTCGTTTTACAGTATGACATTAAGAGCTTAAGGCTGTACATGCCTAAAATTTCCCTTTTTTTGACATTTGATGCGGCGTCAATTCTCTAGATTTTAATTTATTAATAAAGTATGACACTCGACCTAAAGAAAAACTCTTACATGTAGTTTTTATGTGACTTATCAGTAGGGACTCGTACTGGAAGAAAACTCGTTCTTCAGTCCTCTATTAATTGGTAGACCTGCTACCGTTAGTGTGACGGGGTCACACAGCACCTTGCGCTAGAGGAAGTTATCTTCCGAGAGTATACAAACTCTCAGTGAACGGCAGTTCACAGGTCCCCTCTTTAATTAAAAAGGGCGAAGTGACCTAAATAAGGTAGATTGTAAACTGAGTATATTTATAGGTAGGTTAAGTTTGGGTTTAATACAAACTATTAGTTACCTATAGAAATGCAATGTCATTTACCCAATGGTTGGCTTTGAACGACCTTGGTACCTTGTACCAAATATCCCGGAGTATGACGTGTCATACTCCTGGAGTGTGAAGTGTCACACTTCATGTAGCCAGGGTACACTTAGGGCTACGTACCCCGTTACATCCTCCCCCACTTAGGTTCGGTTTACCGACCAATCAGAATGAAGAGGTGCTCGTCACAAACTCTCATTCTCAAAGTCGAAAACCATCGACATGGCCGCGCGAGCGCGGCGGAGGCTCACTTCACAGTTAGAGCCTCGAGCAGCAACCTGTGCGCTCTTCGTCTAGGTCTCCACTTCGACCGTTATCATGCCTCGTGGCACTGCAAAGAGCGGTGCTAAGACACGCTCCAAGGCTGCTGCCGGTAAGGCGCAAGCCAAGAGCACTAAGCCTCACGGCAAAGGCTCTGCACTCAAGGAGGCTACTCAGGTGGCCTCCGAGGCGATCGGATCCTCGGGTGACGCGGCTGTGGACAAGCGCGCAAGCAGGCGCCGCAGTCCGTCGCCCTCGTCTTCAGACAATCGTCCGAACCCTCGGTTCGTAGAGCGTGAGTTCAACTCGGGCAGTGACGACGATGCCGAGTCCGAGAGCACTCATGATGCTCCTGCGGGCTCTGTGGGAGGGCACAGCCCAGTGCCCAGTGAGCACAAAGATGACAGCGTGCAGTCGCCCGCTAGTGATCACGGTGATCACAGTCCCAGGACCTCTGTGAGCTCTGAGAGTCCGGCCGTTAAGGCTAAGGGCGCTCCCAAAGCTGGTGGCGATGAGGAAGAGAATCCTCGCAAACGTCTCTCGCTTGCCGAGGGTCTTGCGCGCGCTAAGGCCTCTAAAGCCGAAGGCACCAAGCCCTCAAAGTAGCGTACCGCCTCTAAGTCTCCACTCCGCGAGGAGAAGGAGACTCGACGCTCCCATCGGGGACTCTTCGATTCCTCGGATAAAGAGGACGAGAAGGAGGAGAAAGAGGGTGTTATTCCTGAACCCCGGGAGATCGCTAACGACCTCGACCAGCAGTAGGAGGATTTCCAAGCTGCCCAGAGTGTGTGGGGGGGTTCGGTGGTGGCACCGTCAGCCAGGAAGCTACCATCAACTCAAGAGGGTATTGGCCTCCCGAGGAGAGCTCTGGGGATGTCCTCTTCTTAGAGCTTCTCGTCGCTCCTCGTGTCCTTGTGGGCGGCCACACTTCTAGGGGCATCTATGAACGATCCCTTGTTCAGAAAGAACAGTTGTTCGTCGACAGCTTGGTGGCTGCTCGGTGTGTGCTTCTCGCGCTACACCGCATTCCCCTTAAGGACTTCACCACTTGTCGTAAGAACCCCGAGACCCGGGGTGGTCTCTATCCTGTTTGGGGATACCCCTGGGTTATGCCCGAGAACTGTCCCACGTGGAGTTCTTGTGAGGACATGTTCTGGGCGTGGGTGGAGTCTCTCAAGTACACGCCCACGGAGTTATGGGAACTCCATGAAGATCAGCAGCTGTCCCACATCCTGGACCAGCGTGATCTTCGTGTGAGGTTTGCCCACTTGATCAGCAAGCGTATGCTGCCAAGGGACATCCTGAAGCGCGCGGCTTCTAGCGCTCACGATGAGCGCGGGTACGGTATGTATTCATCATCCGTACCCCGTTCGGGCAAGAAGCCCCGGACTACTTATGAAGCTGCCGCCGCTTCTGTTCCCAGATTGCGACAGCCTTCGGGCAGTCAATCTGGAGCCGTTCAATGTATTCATCGACCGTACCCCGTTCGGGCAAGAAGCCCCGGACTACTTATGAAGCTGCCGCCGCTTCTGTTCCCAGATTGCGACAGCCTTCGGGCAGTCAATCTGGAGCCGTTCAATCGGCTCCCACGAGTTCTCGGAGTGGGCATAGCCCCTCCACTTCACGAGGAGCTGTCGCTTACCGCGACGCCGTTGCTCCTGAAGGATCCGCTCCACGTGGAAGTGTACTTCTCCATTCCGGTCAAGCAGGGGCGGAGGTGCCCTCGTACGAGTACGAGTACTCCGAACGCCACTCTCGTTCGAGTGCTCCGGCTGCGGGTCCGACACAGGGCCCTGAGGTAGATCGCCTCCGTCAACGTGTCCTCGTGCTTGAGATTGCACTTGGCCTTGGGACTGGCGGTGATGCTGCCGCCCAGGCCGGGAATCAGGGCGAGCTCGCTCGTCTTGCGGGCCGCCTGGACCTGTTGGACCGAGAGGTCGCGAGCCTGCATCTGCGGGTGGATCGCCGGACCTCTTCGTCCGATATGGACGAGGCCTTTCGCATGATCCGACGGATCCAGGCTCTGTTGCCACGTCCGGAGCCGCCTTCGGCACACTCCCAGACGTACGCGTATGGTGTGTACCCGGCGTACTCAGCGTACCCGGCGTATGGCTCCGGGGTCCGTTCGTACGGGGCCTCTCCGGCGTACGGTCTTGACCGCAGCCTTGCCGTTCCGACCGAGGCTTGGGTGCCTGCTCCGACGCCCTCGTCGACGTCTGTGACCGGCCCTCGTTTCGAGGAGCTGGGTCAAGGTGGGTCTGCGAGTCAGCAACCCCCTGCGGATCAAAGTACCGCTTAAGACGTCCAACATAGAACGTCAGGTGCGTCGTCATTGACTTTGGCAGGTCGATGGTGTACGACGCACCATATCTGGCCAGGACTGCAAATGGTCCGATGAAGCGGTGCTTCAGCTTGTTGCTGCCGACAGAGCTGACAGTGTCAAGAGGTAGGTTCCTCGTGTCTAGTAACACTAAGTCCCCCACTTTAAATACACTTAAGTTTCCTTTTCCATGTTTGTCGGAGTACGCCCTTTGTTTATCTTGGGCCGCTGCTATATCATCGCGGACCCTGCTGACAACGCTCAGCTTAGTATCCATAAAGGATTCCACTTGTTTCCGCAGCGAAACTGGTCTCACATCCGAGACCTGGGAGGAAAAGATTTTCCGAGCCTCTCCTCCACTTAGAATAGAGGGGTCAGTGCCTCCTCGAAGAGGGAGAGACACTCTGGGGTGACGGAAGCCGTTCAAGTAGAACGGCGTGAACCCCGTGGACGCGTGCACCGCGTTGTTGAGCGCAAACTCAACAACTGGAAGCTGCGTCGACCACGTACGTGGTGCTGCCGCGCACACACTGCGCAGAGTGTCCTCGAGCACTCGATTGACGCGCTCTGTTTGGCCGTCGGTCTGCGGATGGTCCGCAGTGGACATCTGCAGACGAGTTCTTAGTAAAGGGAACAGCGTTTTCCAAAACGCGGCAGTGAACCGCGGGTCTCGGTCCGAGACAATCGTCTCCGGGAGACCGTGATAGCGGAACACGGCATCGACGAACAACCTTGCGGTTTGTTCGCCCGTTACAGTGACGGGAACTGGAGCAAGATGTACCATCTTGCTCAGCCGACACACGAACACCACGATTCCGGTGCTGCCGTGTCCGTCGGCGGGAAGCCCAAAGATGAAGTCAAGACTCATCGACTTCCAACAATCAGCCGGTACGGGCAGGCTCTGTAGTGGAGCCGAAGAGTGCCCTGCGGGTTTGACCCGCTGACATGTTTCACATGTCTTGACGTACCGGGCGACCCACTTGTATATGTGGGTCCACCAGAAGGACTGAGAGACCGACAGAAAGGTCTTCTCGCGGCCCAAGTGGCCGCTGGAGGGCGCGTCATGCGCCTCCGCGAGGATGTCGAACTTAAGATCCTCGTCGCTGGGTACGACCACCCGTGGAGGATCAGTGGGCTCCACCCGATAATAGAGAAGGCCCTCCTTCAACTCATATCGGTGGAGCCGTGAGCGCTGTCGCGACGAGAGCCAGTCGGACTTCGCGCTCGTTCCGGCCTTAAGGAACTTGACGATAGGCGCGACAGCCTCATCGTCCCGATACGCCATGCGTATCCGATCATATAGATCCGTTGTCACCCGCGCGATGTGGGCCAACTCATAGTCGGGACGCCGAGAGAGGGCGTCCGCAAGCACGTTAAGCTTGCCCGGCTTGTATTCGACGCGGAAGTTGTATTCCGCGAAGAAGGACAGCCACCTCGCCATCCTTTGGGAGAGGTGAGGCGAGTTAGTCGCCGTCCTCAAGGACGCGTGGTCTGTGTAGATCACAAAGGGCCTAGAGCCCAGAAGGTGAACACGGAACTTCACAAGGGCATATTTCATTGCCAGAAGCTCCTTGGCATGGACAGGGTAGTTCCGCTCGGCGGCTTTGAGCTGCCTGGAC